ACACACACACACACACACACACACACACACACACACACACACGGAGGTTAGAAACCACCTTTCAGGAGTCGGTTCTCTCTTTCTTCCATGTGAGCTCTTGGACAAACAAGGTTGTCAGGTTGGCAGCAAGCGCCTTTACCCGTTGTCTGTCACCTCTTCACCAGCCCGTTTGTGTATTTTCTTCACGGAGTAGCTGTTCAAATATTTTGCCCAGGTTATATAATTGAGTTATTTGTTTTTCTAAGAGCCAACTTTTATATGATTAGTGTATGTTAATTCTACAAAACCATGGGTTTCATTATGACTTTTCGTTTATGTATATTACCGAGTTATTTTAAATTGTGGTAAAATATGCATGACTTACAATTTTCCACAGCAGCCTTTGTTATGTTACTGAGGACTTTCACATTATGCTACCAGTACCGCCATCCACCCTAAGCCTCTTCACACTGCAGAACTGAAATCGGAGGCACCCATTAGAAGTAACTTCCAGTCCTCCATCCTCCCAGCCTCTGGGCACACCGTTCTGCTTACTGTCTCTGTGAATTTCACTATTCTCGGGGCTCTTGTGAGTGGAATACGTGGACAATGTGGTCTTTAAATAAATATCTCTGTATACACACACACACACACACACACACACGCACGCACGCACGCACGCACGCACGCACGCACGCACGCACGCGCGCGCGGTTTCAGTGCTGATTAGTTTGGCCCAGAACTTGTGGCCTCAGGTATCTCCTTGCCTCAGCCTCTGAAACAGCTGGTGCTAAGATGTGTGCTGCTGTGCTTGGCTGACATTTGTCTTTTTTGGTTTGTTTGTTGGTCTGTTGTTTTGTTTTTTTTAGTACAGGGCCTCAGGTATCCCAGGGTACCAAGGCTGGCCTGCTTCTGATTCTCCTCCCTCCACTTGGAAAGTTCTGGAATTATTGTGTGCTGCCATGCCCATCTGGCATCCATCTTCTCTTATAACTGCTCATTTCACGTAGTTTACAGTCCTTATAGTCAGTCCATTTGTGTTACAGCATGTATCATAACTTCCTTCATTTTTAATGCTGGATCATACTCCATTGTTTCTTTATCTGTTCATTTCCAGATGTACACTTATTTCAATTCTACACTTTGATTGTTGCTAGAACCACGGGTGTACAAACATCAATTTGAGCCAGGTGGGGTGGTAGAGGCCTGTAATCCCAACACTGGGGAAGCAGAAGCAGAAGGGTTACCATAAGGTATGTAGTGAATTTCAGGCCAGTTTGTGCTGTGGTATGAGACCCTGTCTCAAAAAAAAAAAAAAAAAATTCCAAGTAACACTTTGCGGTTTGCTTGTTTGCTTTATTTTGTTTCAAGACAGGGTCTCACTATGTAGTTCTGGCTATCCTGGAACTCACTCTGTAGACCAGGCTAGCCTTGAACTCACAGAAATCTGATTGTCTCTGCCTCCTGAGTACTAGAGCTAAGGGCATGTGCCACTATACCCAGCGTACACCTGGCTTTTTTCTGCATTTCTTTTAAAGATGGAAGGTTTTATTTACATATTTTATTTCTCATGTACTTGCATGTGTGTGTGTATGGGGATGTGACAGCACATCTGGCTTGTATGTAGGTGCTGGTGACCAAACTCAGATCCTCATGTCTGAGTGACAAGCATTTTACTGACAGAGCAGTCTGCCAGTCTTTGGTTCTTATTGTGGAGTTTATCTAAACATTCTGGATATAAAACCTTTACCAGGCCGGACGGTGGTGGTGGTGGTGGTGGCGGCGGCGGCGGCGGCGGCGGCGGCGGCG